AAGATAAAATGAGAACTGTGCAAGCACAGCCAGTGAGAAGGATTTAGAGAAATTTTGCTACAAAGGAAAACAGAAAAATAGGGCAATGGTTGAAGGAGGCTGGGAGGGTCAGGGGAAGGGTTTCCTTTTATGTTTTAATTTATTTTTTCTTAGATGTGGGCTACTACAGTAAAGGGGGAAGTTAATGATGCAAAAGCAAGAGGAGAAATTTTGCGGGAGCAAACTCTTTGAGTAAGTGGGGGGTGGGATCCACTGTACAAGTGGACAGTTCGTCTTGAACAGGAGCAGCAGGGATAATTTAGGGGGACCCCTGCATATTCTTCGGGAATAGTGCCTAATCTCTGAGAGGTTCTTGAACCAAAACCAGGTGGAATGGAACAGGAGGAGGAGGATCTATTCTTTGCTGTCTGGCTATACCAGCATCCTCTTTCCCATCTGGTGTCAAGTCATAAAGAGAATGAACAACCACTCAGTGGCTTGAACAAGACCAAAGTTTATTGTTTTCCTATAGAATGGTCTAAGGGCCAGTGTGTCAAGTTAGCAGGGGACTGTGCCCCATGTAGCCACCCAGGGAGGGACCCACTCGATCCACTGTTGGCATCGTTGGAGGCTGGTTCCTGTGGGCTCCTGGTGGGAGAAAAGTAGAAAGGGCTTGGCCTTGGCCTTCTCTCTTCTCATCCTAGGTGATCTCATTTAGTTTTTGGCTTTTCTGATGACACTGAAATTTGTCTCCAGTTTGGCCTCTTCCCTGAACTTGGCATCTACATTTAGACATCAGTAAAGCCTCTTAAACTTGATATTGTTCATGATAGGTCTCCCACTACCTCAGCAGCTATTATGTATATTATTATATACATATTATTATGTATATTATATATATTATGCCCTCTTCCTATTATGCCTGGCCCCTCCCCTGTATGATATCATGCCAAGATGGTTGCTCCCACCAAAGAATAAACCCTTCTTCCCAGCATGCACCTGTTCTGCCTAGAAAGTAACCTAATATTTGCTCACCTCCTACCACCTAGTGACATCACCGGATCCTCCATTCCCTAGTCACTACCTCACTCAACCCCGCCTCAGCGCCTACAAACCCCACCCCAGTCTCTATAAAAGACTCTCCCTGCCCCAGCCATATTGCTTTTGTCTCTGCTTTGTTCAGAGACAGCCTGGCAGATCTATTCCCCTCATAAAGGCTTGTTGTGGCCTGGTCTGGTCTTGGGTTTTGGCCCTTTTACCTGACAGTCCAAAGTTCCCTTCTCCTCCTGCTCTCCTCCCTCTTTCAGTTAATGACAGTTCTTCTCTTTCAGTTGTTGAGGCCAAAAGACTTGGTATTATTATTGACTTCTCTTTTTCTCTCAGACCCCCTGTCTAGGCTCTCAGTAAGTACTATTAGCTCTATAATTATTAAAATATCAGATATCCCTCACTAGTTGAAATCCTGTCATCCAAACTCAGAAAGTAGAAATGCAGATAAAATTTTTGAACTATCTTTCAAATTTGAGAGGATTCTGCATATCACAAACTCCCCAAAAATACCCAAAAATAAAGAACCACAGGAGTGCATTTCTTCCTAAGGACGTGACATTCAAGATAAGGGTGTGTTGGTGCCCAACTGTAATCTCAGCACTCGGGAGCTGAGGCAGGATGATCGTGAGTTCAAGGTCAGCCTAGGCTGCATTGCTGCATCCTGAGACCCTGTTTCAAAACAACAGCAATAAAAGGATATAAGCATGGCACTGCTGTTATTGGATGAAGAGTCCTAGGGGAGTTGTTTTATAGGTTCCTAATGTCTCAAATAAAGATTTGAACAGGAGTGATAAGAGTAAGCTTTTGAACATACAAGGTTTTTAGAGGAAGTGTCAAGGTGTCTAAAGCCCATAGGGGAGGGATGGGTGAGGGAGGGTGGGGCATGCGGGGGTCATCAAAATGCTCTGCAATGTGGACTCAGGCCAGGGTCGCGTACTGTACTTGTGGTACCTGTCTGGGGTCTTTAGGGGAACAGGATGACTTTTAGACGTAATTGTCCTTACTCTGTCTGGTTTTCAATTCTTTGCCCCACTGCTTTCTATGGTTTACTTGTCCTTGTTCTCCCTCCTAACTCACTGGCACAGCACAACTTGTAAATCATAAACAACTACTTCAGGATTACCACAGTTAGGCTCCAGGGACTGATTCTAAAATTTCTTGCCCTGTGTCCTGGAAAAAGAAAAGTGGACTATGTTGATTACTGTAAAGGTTCACAGGTAGATACTACTTTGGAGTCTGGGGAAGATGGAGATGTGAAACAGAGTAGGTAAGAGACAAGACAAATTAATTGACTTGCCAAATCCTTTCTGATAGCACGGATGGAACTGATTCTTATATAACAGAAATAACCATTCCTAGTAGTGTCCAGTGCCCATTTTCTTACTTCTCCTCCAGTTTCAGTTAGTATTCCAAACTGGAGATATTCACAGATCACCTTGGTACTCACGCCAGTCATACCCGGCAGCTGAGAGATGTTTTCCAATTAAACAAGTCTTACTACTCATCCTTGTGTGTATAGATCCAGAAGAAACATGTGTGGAGCATCACACCAATTCTTTCTATTGGCATTTAGATGGATAGTGAACACCAAAATGTCAGAACGTTTTATTTGAAAAAAAAAAAAAAAAGATTTCAGAGCCAGGAATGGTGGCACAAATTTGTAATCCTAGCACTCTGTGAAGCTGAGACAGGAAGATTGCAAATCTGAGCCCAGCCTGGGCAACTTAATGAGACCCTGTCTCAAAATTAAAATAAATAAATAAATAAGTAGCTGGAGATGGAACTCATCTCTGGGTTCAACTCCCAGTACCAAAAAAAAATTTTTTTTTGAGGGACTGGGGATTAGCTTAGTGATAGAACATTTATTTAGTTAGCATGTGTGAGGCCCTGAGTTTGATCTCTAGAACTGAGGGAGGGGACAAAAAGAAAGAGATTTGCTTTTTTTTCCCCCTCGCTACCAGGGATCAAACTCAGGAACTTTTGCTTGCCAGGCAGGTGCTGCTGCACCACTGAGCCAAATCCCTGGCCCTTGCTTTTTCTTTTTCTGGAGATAGGGTCTCACTATGCAGTGCAGGCTGGACTTGAACTGACCATGTAGCTCAGGCTGCCCTTGAATTTGTGCCAATCCTCTTGCCTCAGCCTCCTGAGTGATGGGATTACAGGTGTGCGCCACCATGCCTGGCTTGATTAGATTTTTTAAAAGACAAAATATTTCATTTTAAGCTGTTGTCGTTATCATTATTATTATTATTACTGGTGCTGGGGCTCAGATATGCTAAGCACATGCTTTATCACTGAGCTATACTACTAGCCCAATAATTTTCATTTAAAATGTTATAGTAATGTGCCTTTTTTGCTTTATTTTTAATAATCTTAAATATTTTGCAGTAAAAAAATATTTTGCAGTAACTTTAGTAATACCTTAAGTTTTTATTCTCATGTTTATTTTTATTCAATTTTTAAAATAAAAATATATTCAAATTTTGTATACTTTGAAAATAAATAATTATACTTTTTTTTCTTTTTGTGCTGGGGATTGAACCCACAGCCTCCTTTTCATGCTCTGAACTGTACTCACAGCCCCTCAGTGTTAATTCCTTCAATCCAGGGTTGGCAAACTTTTCTGTAGAGGACCAGAAAGTAAATATTTTAGGTTTTGCAGGTCACTGTGGTCTCTGTGGCAACTCCCCTGGCGCTGCAGGACAAAGGCAGCCATGAGGAATACGTAAATGAATGAGCGTGGCTCCGTTCCAATAAAACTTTATATACAAAAACAGCAACAGGTCTGATTTGGCCCAGGGCTACAGTTTGTCAATGGTTGCTTTAGACTGTTACTGTCAAGAAAATACAAATTCGGTGGAAATTTTTTAATTATAATTACATCTTAGTGATTGTGCTGAGACTATGTCAAGAAAAATACATACGAGGTGTCACTGCCCTACAGCCAAAGACTGCCAGAAACACCTGTAATTAAACAGTTGGACTTATTATTCATTGCCCTGAGGGAGAATACACAGCACTGGGAATCGGGCAATATCTCAGAAGGTATCAGGAAAAACCTATCAGGATCTGGGCTTGGGTTGAGTGATTATTTGAAAAAAATTGAGGGGTTGCTGTAGATTGGATGTCAAAAAAGCAGGAACAGGGCCAGGGATTTAGCTCAGTGATTCCGCTGCCTGCCCTGCAAGCGCAAAGATCCCTAGGACCAAAAAAAAAAAAAAAAGGAACAATTCTCTGATTGGGACTCTCAGTAAATCCCACCTATAGGGAGGGGAGATGCACAGGGTGGAGCGTGTATAATTGGTGAGAAGTAGCAGTCACTGAATTTAGCGAAGAGAATGAATTTTGTGAGTAGCACAGAGACCATGTTGTCTGCGCTTGGACAAAGTATAAAATGGCCTTGCTCTGCCTTATTTTATCATGGTCTCAGCATAACTTTTCCTGAGATTGGTGTGCTGTGAGATCATTTACGTTTAATAATGTGGCTTAGTTCCAAATGCCGGGCCAATCTTACAGGGTTAGTGCTGCCTTTTTTTTTTAATAGGAAATGTACAATAATTTATCATTTCTGTACATCATTATGGTTTATGTCTAGATGTCCCCTCAAAGCCTCATGTGCTCATAGGTGGAGCCTTGGGGAGGAGACAGGATCACAGTCTGACCACTACTCAGTGGATTCATCCAGTGATGCATTTATTGCTAAATGTGATTTGGGAGGTGAAGCTTGGTCTTGTCACTGAGCTGGTTCTGAAGGTCACCAGGGCTGAAATAAGGAACCTGTCCCACTCTTGTAGAATAAGTTTGCAGGGTTTTGTTTGTTTGTTTGTTTGTTTTTTGTTGTTACTTGGGATAGAACTTGGGTCTTTCCACTTGCGCAGCAGGTGGCAAAACCACTGAGCTAAATCCCTGGCCCAAGTTTGCAGGTTTGCTGCCTTCTGCCACGGAAAAAGAATTTTCAGAATGTGACTGTAAGAGGCATGAAAAGGGTTTATAAGATAGAGATCTTAGGTTGCACTTAGCAGTGGATTGTGGGTGCTGAGGTGCCTTATGAGCAGAGTTGGGTATATTTAAGGGGGTGTCTTCCAGGTTGGTGATCTAGGATATGTGTTCTTACTGTCCGTCGGGTTACAATGCAAGCCATCTGCACGTGTTTGAAGTTGCCATCTGCTGCCTACCAGTATTGCTTCTTCCTTGGGGGTGAAGAAAGTACAATTTACAGGTAGAAAGGACCTGTCCAGAGCCAGGGTTTACAGGCTTACTGTCTTTAAAACCTTTAGGAATTGTGTTTTTTTTTTAGTGAGTTTCCTGGAAGGGAAAAAGGCCTGAATAACTTTGTGTCTTGAGGCTGCAGGTAAATATAATTTTTAAATCTCAATTTTCTTGTCTCTCTCTCTTTTTTTTTAACCTAGTTTTTATTTCTTTTGTCCTGTCTCAGTTCTTTTTCTTCATTTAGCACTGCCCCTCTGAGACTCATCCATACTGTTGAGGTATCAATAGCACCATTATGCTGGGCATGGTGATGCACACCTGTAATCCCAAATCACTCAGGAGGCTGAGGCAGGAGGATGGCTGTGAGTTCAAGGCCAGCCTGGACTATATAGTGAGTTCAAGGCCAGCCTGAACTATAGGGAGACCTTGTCTCAAAAAACAAACAAACAAACAAACAAACATAGCATCTTTCTGTTGCTCATCTAATATTCCATTGTATGAGTAAAATACAAGTTAGTCTCAATATGACCAGTTCAGACTGGTTCTGGCTCATTTTGCTGTGACCTTATCATAAAAAATAAAACTCATCTTTATAAAGAATATACTTATTTTTTGGCAAACAAGATGTTCTAGTCTTATTTTATTTTATTTGGAAACGGTCTCACTATGTAATCCAAGCTGGCCTTGAATTCACTATGTAGCCCAGGATGGCCTAGAACTCACAGCAATCCTCCTGCCTCAGGCTCCTGAGTGCTGGCATTACAGGTGTGCGCCACAATGCCTAGGCATGCAATCTCATTTTATGTGTGCATGTGGGTGAGGCAAATTCACATACCATAACTTAACCCTTTCAAAATGTACAATTCAGTGGCATTTAGTACATTTGCAGTGTTGTGCAGCCACCACCCTAAATTCTGAAATATTTTCATCATCCCAAAGAGAAAACTTGTACTCATTAATTCCCCACTCCTCATCCTTAATAGCTCTATTCTAATTTCTTCCCCCATGAATTTGTCCATTCAAGATGTTGTATTTCACATACTTGGAGGTACACAATAGATCACCTTTTATAATTGGCTTAGTTTACTTTGTGTTTTTGAAATTCATCCACGTTGTGGTGTGAATCAGTACTCCACTCTGTTCATGACTAAATACTATTCCATTGTATAAATGTACAACATTTTGTTTATCTATTCATCTGCTCACAGGCAGAGGGGCCCTCCTCCCTGGAGGCAGTGACATGGAAGGTGACATTCTGCTTGAATGAAGGAAGGGGTGACCCACATAGCTGACTGGGAGGAAAGTGGTACAGGCAGCAAAGAAATAGAAAGGGTCCATCAAGGAGCCTGGCACATAGTAGTATTATAGACAGCTAAGTTAGGTAGAAATATTATAGGCAGTCAGAGAGGGCTAGGCCCTCGGGAGAGGCAAGGCAAAGGTAAAACACATCACATCCGTGGCAGGAGACACATCTGTTGGAGATCAGGCCTCAAGATAAAGATGAAATGACCAGGCCTGCATACTTCTCCGAAGGGCAAGATAAGTGGCAACACCTGGCCTAAGGAAGTCTACATCAGTCACCCAGGTGGGAGACGAAGACCTCCGGACCCATCATTTCCTAGAAAAAAATCTATGTTCTTTCTATGCACACTTCTTACATGACTTGTTCCCCCATTGGATCACTATTTCCTAAGTGACTATACTTGTGACTTTATTTGTTGATCATAGTTTTAACCAATATTGTACCCGTGTGGTTTTTGCTGTATAAAACTTCCCTGTAAAGTGGGGTCTTTGGCCACCCATTTGGGACCCTTCCTCTCTTTCAGGAGCTATCCTCTTGATATGGAAAAGTTTTAGATAACTTAATAGATTGAATATTAAGGTAGTTGTAGAAACAAAATAAGTAATGTATTCTTTTAAGATTTGCTTATCCCATAACTCCTTGTTTAAGGTGACAATTATCTGACTAATGGGTAACTTCATTAACCTAACAAAGTTACCATGCCAGGGTGAATTTACAATGTATATGGCCTATCTTGTGTCTGACTTGTAAATAGGAACTGGAATTGTATTTACATATCAAAGACCACTAGGGATGAGATAATGACTAAAAAAGATACAAAAAGGGAAATGCTGAACAAAGGGGGAGCAGATACTGACCAGACCGGTTTCTGGCATTCTGTCTGCTCGCGAGAAGAAATTTCATTATTTTATCCGAATTCTTTTTTTTTTTTATCCGAATTCTGTGTCTCTGTGTATTTCTTTCTGAGATTTCTGCAATACTCTTAATAAATATTTCCTACTTTAACCTCCATTGTTCCTAGAATTCACTCTTTGATTTTAGAGAACACAAACTTGGCGTATCAGACATCTAACCGGTTGGGAATTATAACAGTTCCCCTATATCATTTGGAGGTCTGATTTCATCTATATCATCTCTGTATCAGTAGGTGCTCAAGAAATTGTGCACACTGCCATTGTTCGGAGGGAAGGGCCATTTCCTTAACTTTACCTGATGGAAGATTCCAGGTCCCTGCTGCTGTCCCACTGAGGGGTTGGGGTCTGCAGGCTTCACAGTCTCTTCCCACCGCTCCCATCCTGGAGATGACAACTCTAAGGCAGGAGAAGGAAGTGGAGCTTCTACCCAAGATTCTATGCAACCTCTCCCTAGCCTGGCGCACAGTGAGAGACTCCCCAAGCCAAGACCCCTGTCAGTCACAGGCCGTGGTATGCTGGAAAGCCACAGAGGAATGGAGCTCACCTCCCCTGTGAAGACCTATATGAGACGGGCACAGCTCCCAGACACCTCAGGTGGCGTCTACACGTGCAGCAGGGAGCCCACAGCCCTTCCCAATGGACACCTGAGTATCCACATCCTCCTTCCCAAAGTCTCCTCTGACCCTGGCTCTCTGCGAGGTGGTCACTTGGGGTCCCATGAGCATGACCTGGTATCACAGCCACGAGCTCTCCTCTGGGGGTTCATGCCAGGCAAGGAGGCAATGCCCCAGGATGGCTGTTTGGCTGGGTGGACCTTCCGGTGGCGAGGTCTCCAGGGAGCTGCAGGAGGAAGGTTTTCACTCGTCAGAGAGCCCACCTCTGGCCACATCCCTGAGGTCCCTTCAAGACATGCTCAGTCACAGCTCCCTGTGTGATTTCTTCTGATCTCTGTTCCCTGATGAAATATTCTTTCCTTTTTCATTCATTCACCAGCCATGGTGGGCTCAGCACAGGCTCCCGCAGCTCCCAGTGCTTTAGTAACAGAAGAGTCATCATCTGTGATCTGTGCTGCTGATGGCTTCCTGCACGCACAAACAAGGACACCGAAAGGACCAAATCCCAGTGGGAAAACTACAGCCCTGGCCAGGGGACCCCTCCACGAAGACTGCCTGGAGCACGGCTCTCCTTCCTTGATTGGTGGCTGTGACCTTCCCCTTAATGGAACCTCACAAATGTACACCTGGCCCTCGCTGTGCCCCAGGCTGCATCCTAAGCACTTGATGTGCAGTATCTCAGACTTCACAGCGGCTGGAGGAGGCAGAAACCATTACTATCCCCAGCTTACAGATGAATGGAGGCAGAGAGAGGTGTAAGTGATGTTCCCAAGGTCATGGAGACAATGAATATGGGAGCCAGAACTTGAGCCCTAGAGAGCCCTTATTTACAGCAGTAAGCTATGGCAGGCTCGAGGCCGCGCGGAGGATTTTAGCTGCCTTTCCTTCTGGTTCCAGCAGGTGGCACCAAAGCACCTGCCCAACTGTGCACCTGCCCCAGGAAGGTTTGGTCTGGTTTAAAAGGGAACCAGCATCTGCTCAAGAGGAGGAGGTCATTTCCTTCCGGGGATCCAAGCAGTGAGAGGGGGTGGGGAGACAGATTCTGGGTTAGCGTGATTTTGCCAAAAAATAACTTCTGAAATGAGTTTGTCGAGTCACAATATAGTTACTCACACTTGCTTCTGGCTTTTAGGATGAATCAGATAGTTTCCCTCTTGGGGAGCTCACAGACTCCCAAGGATTGAGCGATGTGGAGATTAGTAGCCCCAGAGGAAGTCAAATAAGTTCAAACACAACTATCTCGGAATTTGAAGCTAACAAGTGGGGGAGCTGGAGTCTAACTCAGGCCCAGCTGACCCCAAAGTGCACAGTCTTTCTGTCCAGCCATGGTCCTCGGTTGGTGAAGTCCCCATGCGGATGCTGCTCAGAGTGGGGGTGACAGGGTTTTTCTCCTAAGGGGATTATGATCTAACAGAAGAGGAGGGGAGCCCAGACATTATTCAGGGGTCAGCTCAGGAGAAAATGCTATAATATGTGCCCTCTTCTCAGAGGGATCTTCGTGCTCCCTGTGTCCCCAGGCCCGACACTGGACCTGGCACACTTTAATCCTCATGAATGTGTGACCAGTGGATGAATGAGGAAGAGCCCAGGAGCCCAAGATGGAAGCCATGTTGACAGAGGTGGGCTTTCCTGAGGTGAGATTTGGGTGGGTCCTGAGGATGAAGTAGGAGTTTACAGGTGGAAAAGAGGATGAAAGTGTTCCAGGTATATGCAAATAATGACAGGTTGGAGTGGTGGTCTCTCAACTTTTGTTGAATCACCACCTGCAGACTCACCCCAGGATGGACACACATACACAGTAAATGCTCAGCACACACAGAGCCAAAACCTCACTGTGTGCAATGCCCCGTGGCTTTTTCTGGTCTCCTTTGTTTTGGTAAATGCTAGTAGCAACCCTCTGATTTGTTATGATCTGAGCACAGGACTCTGGAAAAGTGGAGACCATAAGGGTACAGTAGTCCCCTTACACCCAGGGGATGTGTCCCGAGATGCTACTTAGATTCCTGAAACTGCAGATGGTACCAACTACGTATGTAGCACACTAAAATCTATATAACACTCTACCCCAAAACATACCTGTGATAGAGTTTAAGTTGGAAATTAGGCACAATAACAAATAATAGAACAATTATAACAAGACACCATAATGAAAGTTATTCAAAACTTATGAACTGTTCATTTCTAGAATTTACCATTTAATATTTTCTGTAACCGGAACTACAGAAAGCAAAACTGAGAATAAGAGGTATGAATGTCATCTGGAGCCAGACCCTAAATATTTTCAGGTGCTTGGGTGATGAGATTGGACCCTTTCCAGTCCTGTCTGTGAAGGCAGACACGGCAAACTCCTGTCTTGTTCTCTGGCTCCTTCATTGATGTCCTGCCTTTCAGTCTCATCTCTTCAGTCACCTTTACGTGCTCCTCTTCCCCAGCTGGTCTAAGTCTGCTGGCTGCTGGGGCTCTGCACTGGGTGTTCCCCGCTTCTGCTCTGCCTCCCAAGGTGTCCCCTGCCTTGGTCTGAGTGACAGCCAGCCCACTCCTAGCTGTGAAGACACCAATCACTTTCAATAGCCCAAACCTTCTAATTTAGTTGGATCTGAAATGTTCTCCAAAGGTCCACAAATTGAAGGTGTGGTCCTAGACTGCAGTGCCACTGGGAGATGGTGGAACCTTTAGGAGTGGGGCCTCAGGGGAGAAAATTAGGTCATTGGCTGAGTGACAACAGGCTCTCAGGAAGCCAGGGACCCTCTGCTGCCCTGCTGCCCTAGGGGCCTTGCCCCAGGGGGGAAAAGGGTGCTTTCAGTGGCAGACTCACTGGCCCTCCTACTTGAGACCAGAGGCAAAGGTTCAGGATCTGAGGGGGATAGAGGTGATGCCAGGTGTGCCTGGCCCTCCAATATCAAGAATGTGACCATTCCACAGTCATATTTCCTTAACCTCAGGGATTCGGTTATCTTCAGAGGGTCCATTCGGGCCATGACGTCCAGGATCGTGGTCTTCCTGTGCTTGGGGAGCAGCTCGGAGCCCTAGGACCCAGGAGGGTAGTGACGGACAGCTGAGTAGGACTAGGGTGGCACCCTGCCCGAGGGACCAAGGGCCTCTAAAACACAGAGGCCACACTTCTAGCATGGTGGGACACACAAGCCTCTTCCACTCTCCAGTTCCCTGCCTTTCCCTGATAACTAATATCAGAGAGCTCAAGTCTTTGAGATGGGGAAAGAGAAGAAAGAAAAAAATGAAGAGCCTTTAGGCTGAGCTTACTGGAGTCAAGGTCTCCGCAATTTCCATGCCTTTTTTTTAACCTCCTACCGCTGGTTTGCCTTCCAGAGACAGGGCTGCTTTTTTTTTCCTTTTTAAAATAGGAAATGTACAATAATTTATCATTTCTGTACACCATTATGGTTTATGTCTAGATGTTCCCTCAAAGCCTCATGTGCTCATAGGTGGGGCTTTTGGGAGGTGACCGGATCATGGTCAGTGGATTAGTCCAGTGATGGGTTTATAGCTAAATGTGATTTGGGAGGTGAAGCTTGGTCCAAGGAGGTGGGTCACAGGCATGGCCTAGAAGGGTCTATCTCCCTTGGTCTCTCTCTGCTTCCTGCCACCATTCCACGAACTGTTTCTCCTCTGCCCCACCCCTCTGCCATGCCACCCTGCCTTTGAGCCAGCCCTACGGACTGAAACCTCTAAAAACCTGAGCGCCAAAATAAACCTTTCTTCTTCAGAGCTGTAAGTGTTGGGTGTAATGCCTCAGCAATGAGAAAGTTAAGACAGACATTTTTTTTTTGGTGATGGGGATTGAACTCAGGGCCTACTGCGCTAGGTAAGTGATCTCTCACTGAGCTACATCCGAAGTCATTCATTCGTTCATTCTGTGTGTGTGTGTGTGTGTGTGTGTGTGTGTGTGTGTGAGACAGGGTCTTGCTATGTAGTTCAGGCCAGACCTGAATTCACTATGTATTCCAGGCTGGCCTGGAACTCACTATGTAGCCCAGGCTGGCCTAGAATTGGCAGTGATCCTCCTGCCTCAGCCTCTGGAGTAGTTGAGATTGCAGTCATGTGCCACTGGGGACCAGGTTTTTTCACGAACTCATTAAATATAGTTGCCACCCCGTCATCCATGTTTGAACTTGACATAAGTTGCCTGAAATCCAGTCTTATCCCATCACCTTTGGCCTAGTTAAAACTTCCCCTTCCTGTGTGGTTATTTGTGATATAGCCCACTTTTTCCTCATTCCTGCAATTCAAAACACATCCCACAGTTGCTGACCACGATAAAACTTACTGATTAACACCAGAGTCATATAAATAAGTGCCACCTGTGTTGGTTGGTTGTTTTGGTTTGTTTTTTAAGAGACAAGGTCTCACTATGTTGTCTGGACTGGAACCAAACTCCTGGGCTCAAGCGATCCTCTCACATCCTCTCTAGTAGCTGGGGCTAAGGTCATGAACCACCACACCCGGCTTCCTGAGCTTTCTTTAAATCAGCCTAACCCAGTCAGGAGGACGGCCTCAGGGATAATGCCCAGGTTCCTAATAGTTCCACAGGTCCATTGTCTCTCTTGCTGCCCCCACACACTGGTTGAGCTGGAGTGTCCTGGATGTCCCCCATCCCATGGGCTCTGGGAAGCGTGCTGTGCACTACTTTCTGGAATCTATCAGCAATAAAACTGCCTTCATTTCATGACTTTTGTTGTGCTGTGCTGCCTCTTTTGTGTTTTACCGTACCCACACACCTGAACCTAACTATCCTCCCAGTCAGTGACTTTTGATAGGAATAAACTGAACACAGGTCAAACAAGAGCCGCAAGGGTTTCTACCAGTATAAACGAGTTTCCTGTGAGAGCGACATCTGATCACAAGTCATACACACCTAGAGACTGGGCTGTTTGCCAGGATAAAGTAGCCATTGAAAAGCATGCTGTAAACATCCATGACCACCTACCTCCCATTAGGGGTGTGGCCAGAAACAACAGTCACCCTGAGCCTTCAAGACCAAATTAGAAAAAATCACAGCAGGTTTCAACTTATGAATTTGGAGAGGACACAAACAGTCGGCACATCGCAGTCACATAAAAACTACAGGTCTACACATATTTTTCATTTTATTGTTATAAAGGTATATTTGCTAAGGTATAAAGGTAGAAAATATTTACTAGTTTGCTATCTTAATTTATAGTTTTTAAATATTAAGAGGTGTGGTTTATGAGCCTCTGTTGGTCCATTTGTCCCAGGTCCTGCAGATGTGAAGGGAAGGCCTGCTTTTTCTTCTGAAACAAACTTAACTTCACTTGAACTCAGATCCCACCATCCAAATTCAGGGATGAGAGAGGATAAGAGAGTGAAGAGTGTTCGAGGTACTTCCGGAATTCAAGGCCTTTTCCCGCCCCTGCTGCCGGTCCTGCTGTCCAGGCCACCTTAACTTCTCACCTGGCCCGGGGCTTTAGGATTTTTGCCAATTTAGCTAAGCTGGAACTTCGTTTCCCAGAATTCTCTTTCCTGTGCAGTTTTGGGTGAGAATTTCCCCAAGAGGGAGATTTGGGCAGGATTTGGAAAGCAAAAGTGTTTACACTTGGAAGCCAGTCTAGGGTCAGGTGGTCCTGCAGCTCACATGCATTTTGCTGATCCACTGGCTTCCCTTGTTGATGTGAGGCAGCAACTGGGCCCACAGCCACTACAGCAGTCCCTGGACCTCTACTTCAGCCTCTCAGACTCCTGAGCTGTGTGTAGATAGGGCAGCAGCTTCTCCTGCATGTCATCATCAAAACTGGAAACCAAGAGCCAGGGACATAGCTGTGGTTGAGCGCTTGCCTAGCATGCACAAGGCCCTGGTTCAATTTCCAGCACTGTGAAAAAATTTTAAAAATAATTGGAGGCTTAGAGGTGGGATAAACCTATGCAAAACCTAGTTTGTTTTTACGGATTCCAGTTCATTTTCTTGGGTTCCACCTTTCCTTGCCCTTCCTTCTTCACATCCTGTTCTGTTTTGGCCACTTCCTGCTCACTTCCAGCCTAGCACCCATAACTGCATTAGGTCAAATCTCCATAACAAATCCCTTATTTTTAATTAATAATTTGTTTTTTGTTTTTGAGACAGAGTCTTGCTACATAGTCTAGGCTGGCCTCAAACTCTCAATCCTCCTACCTCAGTTTCCCAAGTATTGAGATTACAGGCATGCGCCACTACATCCAGCTATAAATCCCTGATTCTGTATCACTGCTAGTGCTCCTGTTTCCCCGACAGAACCCTGATCCTTGCCCCTGGATTCCTGCCATGGACCTCCCCTGGCCCCCGGACAGAGGGTGATCTTCTTAAAACTTGTCAGATGTGCCACTCTCT